GACCTTATTACTGTAACAAAACAGTTTGTGTCGTAAAAACGTTATAAACGCGACTAGTAGTTATGTACGCTCTGATATATTAAAAATATATATATAAACAAAAACATCTGTGACATGACCTTATTACTGTAACAAAACAGTTTGTGTCGTAAAAACGTTATAAACGCGAATAGTAGTTATGTACGCTCTGATATATTAAAAAAAATATTGTTTATTATTCTTTAAGTTTTGCAATATCTGTAATTATTTGCTTTTTTATCCAATTCTTTAAAGAATGGGTGATCAAAATTATTTTTTTGTACCTTACTGATCTGTTTGATATTTCTGAAGTTACGCCATATGGTATATTGGATTTACCTGTCAGAATCCGGAGAAGGAAGGAAACCAGAATCCGGTGACGTTAAAGATCCATAGCTGAACTTTCCATTTTGAAGAGGGGTGGTAGGTAGTGACATACATCCCTCACAGTCCCTCGTCTCTGTCAAATGAGTTGAAGAAGGCGGAGAGAGGGATGCGGGGGAAGTCCGGTCCTTGTGACGAAAAGCAGGCCGGTGGCGATAATGGCCTGGTTGCCGCCTTGTATTTGGACGGGATTTACGGCCAATTAATCCAGCAGTACATTGACTAAACATGTGCTAATTAGGCAATAAACTTGTAATTTATGACAAACCACATGGGAATGATAATATATCAGCACCACAACATAGTGTTATACCTATCAGAGCAAGTCTGGATACTTAGTCATTTTAACATGTTCAAATGACTGACCAAAAATATAGAAACGTTAGTCTTATCCCTCAACTTCTGTAATAATAGCACACAAGATCACGTTTATGCTATTGTAAAACTGTAATGCAACTGATGTTGTTAAATGCTATGATGTTCGGCGGAAGCAGTAACGGTAAGAATGAATTAAGCACACAGCCAAAATGCCACTTTTTTCCAACGTTTGTCACTATTGTCGAGATATTACAGCAATCGGAATGTTAATTTACAACTTGTACATGTTTTCAGGGTTTCTCGCTTAAAATAAAAGCTTTTCACTCTCCGTGTAGGCACTTCAACTGTTGTTTGACCAGCTCTTGATATACTCTTCATTAACGACAGCTGAGTTACCAGCATACATCTGGCTGTCGTGCAACGCCTCTATAGAATAGCCTACTCGATTAGTGATTAACGCAGACAGCCTATTTCTTCATGCAGCTGCAACTAAGTACGAAGCTAGTTGTGATAAATCCGGGAAAAAAAGAAGAGTAAAAAGGAGTTCAAGTGGGTAAACCGAGCTCTTGAATCCACGTGAAGAAAATTTGCCAGGAGCGTATAGGCGGGGCTCAGCCGCACGACAGAGGCCGACGAAAGAGCCGTGCTTTCTGGCCGGCTCTTACATGGTTCGTGCAGCTGCTACGAACTTTAAAAGACAGTTTGTACAACACACATCGAATCGAAAGTAATCCCAGGTTAGTCGCTTTTAACAATCTTTTTGGTTCCGGTCGGTAGATTCCTAATACTTTATGCCCCGAGATAAATGCTGTATTGAATGTTATCCTTAATGAGTCACGTGGAGACTTGCTCGTGAAATGAAATCTAGATAATGGCTCGCCGAGAAATCAATGAGTGACGTCACGAGAGTTCTTTGTTGTGCGAATCAATTGTCTATAGGTAATGATGTGAGCTATGATAGTTCAACTAACTCCTCAGGTTCTTATCTTCCCCTAACCATAGCAAATCATGTCTTTTTCACTAATAACCTTGCTACGTTCTTCTTATACAAGAATTACATAAACGGAGTTCTTCAGATATAAATTACATTTATACCCCTAAAACTAAAGAAAATATATTATAACTAACAAATCCTTTTGTTTAAAGAAAGACGATTTGGACAAGTACAGTAATTTTAAGTACGGTTATTTTTCATAACGCCACACTCCGAAAAGCTGTAAACGAATAAAAAGATACAAAATCAGATAATTTTAAGAGGTGAACCTGTTTGTTTCGGATATACATATTTTAGGTTGAACTTGAAACCTGAACCAAGGTTTTTCATGGGTGTCACAGTACTCAAGTGTAAAGTATTTTCTCAGTTCGTTAAGAGTAAAGGAGAAACAATAACTATTAGATCACGTCACACCTATATCATACAGGAATGTCTGACATCACACGTAAATTACACAAATATCTGACGTCTCAGCGATATAGTGAAAAGAAACCAGCTATATTCTGTCACACATGGTCGCTAGGACTATATATCATGCTCCTGACAATAAAGCTTTCTGTTACACATGGATCGAGTTACTGGAAATGAAGTTGGATTCTGTCATACATGGTAGTTAGGAACTATGGATCAAGTTACTGGAAATAAAGTTTTGATCCATAGTTCCTAACGACCGTGTATGACAGAATCCCTTGATATATAGTCCCTGCGACCATGTATGACAGAATCCAACTTTATTTCAGTAACTGGATCCATAGTTCCTAACGACCATGTGTGTCAGAATCCAGCTGCTTTATATCCAGTAACTACATTGTGTGATAAAATCCAACTTTATTATCGCCAGGAAGTTACTGGAAATAAACCAGCTGGATTCTGTCACACATGGTCGCTGGGATTATGTATTACGTTTTCCTGGCGATAATGATGTTGGGTTTTTTGACATATGGGCCTTTTCCATATATGTCTTTACTGATTTCTTTATTAGTATAGTGTCCTGTCTCAGATTCTTGTAGTTTTATTTTCTGATATGATTCTACTTATAGTGTTCTGCTTCATATATATACCGCCCCCCAGTGGCACAGCGGTATGTCTGCGGACTTACAACGCTAGAATCCGGGTTTCGGTACCCGTGGTGGGCAGAGCACCGATAGCCCATTGTGTAGCTTTGTGCTTAATTACAAACAAATTATATATATATCTTTAATTTTATTTTATTGCAGTGGACTTCACAAATATTTCCCATTGTTACTATTATATTATGCTCCCTTATATAAAATTATTAATACTTTTACTACGAACATTTTATATAATACTTTTACTACGAACATTTTAAATAAAATTATTAATACTTTTACTACGAACATTTTATATAAAACTATTAATACTTTTACTACGAATATTTTATATAAAACTATTAATAATTTTACTACGAACATTTTATATAAAACTATTAATAATTTTACTACGAACATTTTATTTCTGATATAAATTTTACATTTCTTACTACAAGAACGACCTTCCTTATTTCACCTTTATTAATCATGCTAACACGATGCTCTCACTCTACAGATGCTAATTATTATTTTATTTCAGCGTACTTTTTATAAGGGATCTTTTCTGTTTCATGCACCGCGTTCACATAGAAATAAATATATATTTTTGAATGAAATGTTTAATGCTGATTTCAGAAATAAGAATTAAAATTTGGAGGATTGATTTTTAAATGGGAAAAATTTTCGTTTTTAAGAATTTTTTAAATTAAATTTATTTTTTATTTAAATATACATGTAATTATTTACTAATTATTCTAACTTGATCTAACCTTACATAAACTTACCTAACCTAGCAAAATAAATAAAATATATTAAAATATTTCCTTTCATTTCTCCAAATTTTAATCTATATTTCTGAAATCAACATTTTAAAACTATATTAAAAATATGTATTTCTTTCTGTTTGAACGCAGTGCACGAAACAGAAAAGATCCCTTGTAAGCTATATTTATATTACAATTTTTTCTGCTATGCAATCACTACTATTATGTTTGTAGGTGATACATCGTATTCGTATGTCGTTAAAGTTTTGTTGTACATGTTACTACTTTAACACTAATACGTAGTTATGACACTGATTCTTCACGCCTGACAGGCAGGAGGTGTTACGTCATCTAAACTAGTTAGCACTTGCCATTAATCAACATAAGGATTAAGCCAATTATAGCATTATGTTTGTGTAACATCTTTTTTTTTCTGCTTTTGCAATCTTGTTAGCAAAAGTGATTTTTCTGTGTTTGATTTATTTACACTTCAAGCTCTTTTTTTATCCTTCGAAATTGTTTTATCATGCAATATAAATTATGTAACAATCACTGTTATAAATCACTATACATTTCTTTAAAATTGACTAAAGACAGATTGCAAAAGGCGCCACGTATGGTAAATTTCAATAAAAAATCTGATTAATACGTGACTTTTATAACAAGTAAACAAAGTTTTAGAATTGCAGCAACTTGTAATGCTGTGTTGTTCGGCTGTTTAAAAAAAGAATTCACCGAAAAATTACACGAGTTGATAACTGAGTATACAGGAACAGTTACTTCTATTTACACCAAAAGTACACACGAGAGGGCTTTATATGAAACTTTACGATCGCGCTGAATACAGAACAACGTACGAATAAAGTTTATCTGACTATATTAAATAATTATGTCAGCATGACACCATTCGTTTAGCTTAAAGAATGAATAAACAAACATGACGTACATCTTTTCAAAACGACGATCTGAAAAACAATCGAACTTTCTAGGAAGCACATGACTGTGCAGTAACATCTTACACCAAGTCTGGTATAAAGTAAGACCAACTGTTTACCCTCAGTTACGTGTGTTAACCTCAGATTTCAAGATGTGGGAATGAGATTGATTCACGTAAACACACACACATACACACACGAGTGTCCATAAAGAAAAAAAATCACTGCTGATGCCTTGCTATCTTAGATATCTGGGAAATGTATGTTTTTATCCTACTTATCATAAAAATAAACAAAAACAGTAACAGTTAAAGCAATATCATCTCTAGCTTTATCACAAGTTTATAGAGCGCTTGAAAAATAGAACATAAACTACATACTGACTTTATTAATCGGTATTTTGTGATCTTCAAGGTGTTCAAGCATTGGTTTTTCATCAGAAGGAAGAAGAACTAACAACTTTCTTTGGTAGTGTCATAGCTTTGAACCATTCAATGAAAGGTTAGTAGTAGTGGTGTAACAAGCGTGATATAGGTTTCAAAAATGCGCAACTTTGTCTAACTCTTTTAGAATAAAAGAAGTAGTTGTGCGTTTACCGGTTATCAACAATCGTAAGTTCGTTTCAATGTTATCATTAAGTAAAACGAATCTAAATATTCCCCTGTCCAAGACATAAATTTTTCACTGAAAAAAACAAAGAAGAAAGTTAAATTGAAAAATGATTGCCGAAGCAAAACGCCCTGGTTGAGAGTTGCAAGCTTATATTGAAAAACTATTATCGAAGCGAAACGTTCTAGTTGGAAATTGAAAGCTTATATTGAAAAACGATTCTCAAAGCGAAACGCTCTGGTTGAGAGTTGTAAGCTTATATTGAAAACGATTAATTATTGCCGAAGCGAAACGCTCTAGTTGAGTGTTGCAAGCTTATATTGAGAAACGATTACCGAATCGGAACGTTCTGGTTGAGAGTTGTAAGTTTCTATTGAAAAATTATTGCTGAAGCGAAACGCTCTGGTTGAGAGTTGCAAATGAAAAATCTGAGAACAAAGTGCTTAACAACATGTGTTTAAGCTCGCATATGGTGAAATCTTCATTGAAAATATCATAAGAGCAAAACGTATGTAAAAGGTTGAGTCCTCTTTGTATTTCAGTTTATGTTTTGCCCATCTGGAGTAACTCTGAACCAAGATTATCAAAAAATTTATCTGTTCACTATTTGTTTTATTTTTAACCATCGGAACTGCATATATAACTAGTATTGATAATTGTTTTCAAAATTAAATTATGATAAGACGAATTATCTTGAATGCTGTTGCCAGTTTAACTGTAACACGATTTTAGAAATGTGCATAAATGAACACACGAAGACGATTAGTTATTGTCACATGTAAATCGATTGTTGGATATACAAGACTGTATAGTGTCAGTGTTATTATTTAATTCATTTTGTGAATTAATATTTAATAATTGTTGGGTTTTTCAGAAGGAAAGAGTTAAAAGCAATTATTCTAAAGGCAATAGCTTTGGTAAGTTTGGTTACGTAACTCGGTAAGTGTCGTACGTTGAATTTGCAATTCATTGGTGTCGAGGTTGTAGAAAATTCTAGTGGCATCAGTGAAAATTATATAAATAGCAGCAACCAAACAAACGAGCGGAGCAGAGTAAAAGTAAAGTCAAGTGAAAAAAGAAGTTTAACAGTTTGATAGAGATAAGGGGAATAATTTGTCTTGTCAAAAGGTATTCTAAACTAATTGAACCTACCTGTGTGGACTTTGATCAAATTATTTGAAGTTCAGGATACAACTGTGGTAACCACTAGGTAACGTAAGTGAATTATTTGCTGATACTATTGTGATAAAAGTAGAAAGCAAATAGTTTTCCTTGTCAACTGGATTCTAAAGCAATTGAGTCAGCCTAAGTGGACTCTTGACAAGAAGAAGAGAATTGTATAGTGTTTAAGACACAACTGTGATCTCCATGTTCTAAAGAAGTTTTGTACATACGTTTATCTTATTTTGAATATAATATTTTAAAACAACTGGAATGCGTGCTGTCCGTTTATTGCTCGAATTTATCGTCAAC